TCCGATTTCTCTCTCCTCCCACCATTAATCTCCACCAAGCTTTCTCTCTTCTGTGCTTTCTCTCTCTTCTTTTTTTTTTCTTTCTATTTTGTCTTAAAAATCCGACGAAATTAGACGAAATCAAGGGTAAATCAATGAGACAATTAGAAATATACAAACTACTGTCAAAATATCGGTTTTTTATGCACATTAGTGGATCTTGTTATTCTTTTCTTCTAATTTTTTATGTTTTCGTTGTTTTATCATTTGTAATATGTTATAGTCATATATATATATATATATATATGTGTCATAGTATGTTATGACAATTCTGATTATTCTGAATCATGTGAGTACGTGATCTTGTAACCTTGTGAACCATGTGACCATGTGACTATGTGACTATGTGACCATTGTCTATTATGATCATGTGGCCATTGAAAAAGGCAAAAAGGTTTTTGGTGCTAGACCTGCTTGATAATTATCTTTCCAAGACTGTGAAATGGTCTGATACTTTGACATATATGTCTCTCTTATTACACACTACATAGTAAGTTAACTCATATGATCATTGTTGTGACCAGTGTGTGACCGTGTGATAGGAAATCAGACGAAATCAAAGGGAAATTAGTGGGAAAATTGGAAATATGTAAGCTAGTGTCGAAATCCGATTTTTTCCATACAAATTGGAGAGAATGATTAATTTGGAGTGAAGAGAGAGTCATAATTTGTATAATAATTGTGTAATGTATTTGTATTATAATATGTTACAAAACATTTGTATAATAATGTAAAGAACTGTAGTTAATGATATTGTAATGTGTTTGTACAATGTAGTGTTAAAACCTTTAAATAATATTGTGTTTGTACCATACTAAGGTTGTATTATTGAAGATGAAATTTTGTATATATCTGATTCGTATTACACATTAAATAAATTGACTCATATGAGCCAACGTTATGACCCATTATGACCGGCATGTGACCATGTGACCGAAATGCAATTTTGCACTATGTGACCACTGTGACCGACTGTGATCCGTGACCGAAATGTGTTGATAAATATAAGCCAAAATTTAATTTTAAAGCTTCGGAATGGTTTATTAGAGTCTGTATATCAAATATATATTGTGTGAGAGAGAATTTCAAAATATTTTAAGAGGATTGTGGAAGAAATATACCAAATTTGTCAAAAATACTCATAAAACATTATGAAACATATAGGAACACATTTGAAATAGAAACTTTGAAACCAAAAAATCGCAAAAACCATATTTTAATGTTCAAAACAATATAAAATAGGGTTATAAGAGATAGGGTAAAACTCCTAAAAAACCTCCAACTTGCAAAAATATATACAAATAAACCTTCAACTTGAAAAAGTATCATTCAATCCTCGAACTTGTAACTTGTCACTGAATAAAACCTCGAACTTCCAAATTATTGCTCTAATAAACCTTTGACCGGTTTGACCACAATTTCAGGCGATCGAAAATCCATATATTAACGGATTGCTGATGTCACCTTATACACGTTATCAATTTTAATTTAAAAAATGACATCAACAATTCGTCAATATGTGGATTTCCGATCGTTTAAAATTATGGTCAAACCGGTCAAATGTTTATTAGAACAATAATTTGCAAGTTCGCGGTTTTATTCAATGACAAGTTATAAGTTCGGGGATTGAATGACAGTTTTTCAAAGTTGAAAGTTTATTTGTATATATTTTTACAAGTTGGATGTTTTTTAGGGGTTTTACCCTAAGAGATATATGACGTTGTAGGTTGATTAAATTGACAAAAATCGCATGGATCGAAGGTTGTGACCGATTGTGACCGACTGTGATTTATTGTGACGAAAATGTGTTGTGGGGCCCACACGAAGAACTAGTAGTTCGATTAGGAAGTCCATGCACATCTCTTCGTACTCCAATTGGCTTAAGTGCACTCCCAATGATAGTCAGAATTTTTTTTCCAGATTTTTGTGTTTCGTGGGGTCCAGTTTGAATATTAACCCCTTTTTAACCCTATATTTTTTTCTTCCCAAATTTTAACCCCAAATTTTTACCCTAACTTTTTTTCCTCCCAAAATTTTTCAATTTCAATTTTAATCCCAAATTCTTTCTCATCCAAATTTTCTCCCTTCCAAATTTAAACCCCAAATTTTTTTCTTCACAAATTTTAACCCTAAATTTTCACCTACAACATTTTAAACCTATAATTTTCTGTAAAAACATTAAGAAGTTCAGATTTTTTTATAAATACATAAAAAAAGATAATGTCAAACAAACAAAAGTACTCTTAAGAAGGTTCAAAATAACATACATATAATTTGGTTCAGGGATCGTTCACTCTTTCTTCGTCCTAAACCTCTGAGTCTTTCCATTGGCGAGTATTGCGGCTGCTAGTTGTTCACGGATCAACGTGACATTGTCGTCGCATATCAACGGTAACAATACCGTCTCTTTGGCAAGACAAATTAATGGCTTCGATGTACTTCACTACAAAACCCCCACATTCTTTCCCGTTCTTTTGGGGTACGTCTTCCACATACTCAATGTCCAGTATATCTCCATCAAAACTTTCGCACCGAAATCCACTTTAATGCAATCCAATTGCAACTGATTTCATCACTGTCAAACCCGAGAACGTTAAGACTATGTGACACTATGACCATGTGACTGTGTGACTATGAGACCGTGTGACCGTGTGACCATGTTCGTTTTCAAATGTCGCATCCAAAACTGAACTCTTCCATCTGTACTCCCCTCACCCTTCCAAGTAAAAATAAAGTGCTTCTTCACCCTTTTCTATTGTATATTGTGATATAGGTGTACCTATATGATCCTATGACATTATGACCTTTGTGACTGTGACCATGTGACCATGTGATCTTATGACCGTGTGACCATATGACTCGTGACTATTATATATTGTGAATAGACGTACCTATATGACCCTGTAACACTGTGACGTTTGTGACTGTGACCGTAAGACCATAACATTAGAATCTTCAGGTCATCCAAATCTTCATGTTATCTATATATCCAAACATTGACTCATACCGTGTTGTGACCTATATCACTATCTTATTTGACCGAAACTCGACTATTTCACTCGATTTTAACCAGAAACCATCAAACCAACATTTTATTTCGAAATTCCCAAATTTCAAAAAAACCCAAAACCCTAATACTCTATCGTTCAAATCCTCAACCCACACTTGAACCCAATAACAAAACATCTCAAAATCAAACAAATTTGAAAAGAAATTAAAGTTTAACCTACCTTTGTTCATCTAACTCTGAAATCTCAATATAACTTTCACTTTTGCTCGAAAAAAATGACGAAGATGAATCTGAACTTGTCATTTTTTCGTTGTCATCATTATTTCTTCTATCTCCTCAAATTTTGGTGGCTAAATGAAAATTGTAAGAGAACTCGTGATTTAGAGCACAAACCGTTGAGCGATTCGGTGGTTTTGAGCGAAAATCGTGAATCCGGAGAGAGAGAGAATAGATCGCGAGTTAGAGGAGAGAGAAAGCACTGAGAAATGAGTGAGGAGAGAGAGAGCATTAATCAGACAATATCATCGTTTTTTCTTTTTTTTTACTTCAATTTTTTTTAAAATTTTATTCAAGATTTTTTTGGTCTTTTCAGAAATGTTTGAGGGTGTTTGTGTCTTTTGGCATATTAAAAAGTGTTTTTTGTTTAATTTTTTGTTTCAAGGATAACTGTAGAAGTACTAGAAGTATTTGTAATAGGGGAAGGGTTATTGCCTCTCCGTAGTCATCTTCCGCCTCCATGTGAGCCAAAGATATATATGTTTAGCTTTTCCCCCTATATTATTTTATATAAAAGGACACTGAATTCCGACACGTTCTCCACAATGGTGGGACAAAAATATCTATTTTATCTTCAGATAAATTTAAAATAAAAATAAAAAGCACGTGTGAACACTTTTGCCGTACCAGAAAAAGAAAGCGCATTTGAAACCAACTTTTTTTTTTGGTATGAAATTTGAAACCAACTTTACTCCCATTAGAAACAATTATTACATCCTAAATGTGTTTTCTTTCTCCTTAGGTGACTAATATAATTCGGACAAAAATCGTATATATATATATATATATACACACACATAAAGCAAAGCAATATTATTACACGAAGCAGACGCGGCAATGGAGATTAGGGATTGACCCTCAAAGCCTTAAAAAGAGAAAAGGAAATGATGAGATTAACGAAGATCAAATTTGCTTGGCCTTCAAGTTATCAAAATTTAAATTTATAAATAACAACGAAAAATCTATTAAGAATATGAAAAATAAAAAAGAACTGTTATTGGAATTAACGTATATATACACGTACCCAACCTAGTGTGGGCGAGTGGTTGGGATGTGGGCCAATATACCTTCACGTCGGTTGTTCGATTCTTGAGGGTGGGAAGGGGTATTCACATGGGTTCCTCCGATCCTCTGGGAATGTAGTCGGGCCGAAGACCCGGTGAATTTCCGGATTAAAAAATATATATATATATATATACGTCCGTACAAGGAATAGTGTAGTACCATGATCCATTTCCTTTTATTTGCCAACTAATTCGACCGACTAAGCATGCGTACTCTATATCAAATGCACATTATACGTACGTACGTTGACCAATCAATACAACAAAATTAGGGTTTTCATGTTTTGGATCCGTATTCCGTACGAACGGAAGTTCCGTGGTCCGCAAGAAACTGAGCTGATGATCAATATAAAATGTGATTGGGCCGTCATCTTCGGCCCAATATAATTTATTGGGCCTACAACTGGGCTACAATAGATTTTTCTTTTCCGTCGGCAGTCATTTGTTCTTTTGTTTTACAACTTTTTTTTTTCCTGCACGTTTTCCATCATTTTAGTGTTTTTTTAACCATCATTCTGTTTTTCTTCGGGATTTTGTTATTTTTTTTTGTCGCGATATCATTTATATATGGATTTATTGGCAATTAAATTTATCATATTTGTCCAATTTGTCTCACCAAAAAAATATATCCAAAATTACTAAAAATTTTATTGTAATAAATGCATTTTCCACTACTTTTACTGTTTATGGCAGATTCTTTAATCTTTCAACAGATGTATCTATTTCTTTATCATTATGATATACCCGAATGCAATTTTTTTTTTTTGACAAAATGTGGTATTTTCATTCCTTTATAACCTGTACAAAATGCAAATATTTTTTTCACAGCTCAAAACTTGTTTCTTAAAATAAGCATTTAAGCTTTTAGAATTCAAAATAAACTCGAGTATATATAGATGATTATTATTATCAATATCAAGAAAAAGAAAGCTGTATTGGTATATTTTTTTTACCCTGACATTGTATTTTACATTGTCTTTTTATGGTAAAAATAGTTGGAAATTTAGGGGAATAAAGCTGCATCAAAATAAATGCAGAAAATTTTCAGCGGAAGGACAAAAATGCTGAATTGGAAAGAAAAAGATGCGAGAGAAAAAAGCCAAAGAGAAGAAGAAGAAGAAGAAGAAGATTCTGGGAAGAGATAAGTGGAACACTTCACGTCGTCTGCAAGTCTTCTCCTTTCACGAGACTGAGAAGCTTTTCTGATGGATTCTCGGCATTTTCTTGCATTTTCCGTCTGTTCTCTCCTTCTTTTCCCGCATCTTTCCTCCGCTTCCTTCCAAACCACTCGCTTGCTCTCTGAGAAGAATCAGTACGGTTTCCTCTCTGGAACTCTTTTGATGTTTATACATAATCGTCAATGTAGTTGTGTATGGTTTTGATCACGATGGGATTCGTCTGTGTTCCGTGGGATTTGGTGTCTGAGATTTTTTTTTGGGTTTTCTGTCGTTTGTTGTAAATTTTTGCAGAGGTGTGTCGGCGATTAAGCAGCAAACCATTGTTGGTTCTTCCCTTGTTTTTGATCCAACTCATGTCACTCAGCTCTCTTGGAGGCCTAGGTTTTATCCTTTCCCATGCCAGAGGGCTGTGATTTTTTTTTTGGAAAGGTTTGATCTTTGTTATGCCATTTGTGTTAAAGTTTGTGGCTTTTGTCTTTCTCAGAGCCTTTTTATACAAGGGGTTTCTGTCTGATGAGGAATGTGATCATCTCATTACCTTGGTTAGCAAGAAATTTCTTCTTTTTCTTCCTCCTCTAGTTTCTGGGACTTCATGGATATATAGATCATGGGGAACTGGCAATGATCTGGGCAATTCACAGAAAGTTATTGGATTTTGGTTTTGGTTTTGGTTTAGGCCAAAGATAAGCTTGAGAAGTCAATGGTGGTGGATGATTCAGGTGAGGACATGGAAAGTGAAATACGCACAAGTTCTGGAATGTTTCTAAGCAGAAGACAGGTGGGTGTGATTTCATATGTGGAAATTCGTAGGAGAATGATCGATTCATTCATTTCAAACTGTTCATGAAAAAAACATGACCCATTAAGCATTTTTCATAGCGCAGGATGAAGTAGTAGCTAACATCGAAGGTAGACTTTCGGCTTGGACCTTTCTTCCTGAAGGTAAAGTAAAATCTGAGGAAAAGCTGTGATCTTTCCAACTGTATAACGCCTCCAAGCGTTTGATATTTTTTTCCTATCTCGTTCTTTCTTGTCGATCAGAGAACGGGGAATCCATTCAAGTTCTGCGTTATGAGTATGGTCAGAAGTATGAAACGCATCATGATTTCTTTATTGACAAAGCCAATCTAAAGTTTGGTCATAGGGTTGCCACGGTTTTGATGTACTTGTCCAATGTCGAGATGGGTGGGGAAACGGTCTTTCCTTTGTCAGAGGTAAAGAAACATATTCTCTACTCCATAATCTTCGTTTTGAAAACAAAAAGATCGGTTTTTTGGCATCCATTTAATATCAATCACTTACCCTATAGGCCAAAACTTCCCAGCCGAAGGATGATAGCTGGTCAGAATGTGCTAAAAAAGGTTATGCAGGTACAACCTCAGATTCAGTTTCGATTATATCGACCCAATTTGGACCATAAATGACAAGATTTTCACGTTCTTTCAGTGAAACCCTGGAAAGGCGATGCCTTGCTGTTCTTCAATCTTCACCCTAATGGAACTTCGGATGCCAGCAGTTTGCATGGAAGCTGCCCAGTAATTGAGGGTGAGAAATGGTCTGCGACCAAGTGGATCCACGTCCAGCCATTCGGCCGGCTGAAGCAAATATCCGAGTGCGCTGATGAGGATGAAAACTGTTCAAGTTGGGCGAAATCCGGGGAATGTGATAAGAACCCTGATTTCATGGTGGGAACGGACGGGGACCCTGGATTTTGCAGAAAGAGCTGCAATGTTTGTTCATCTTAGGAAAAACAAAAGAAGAAACAGCTTGAGTAAGTAAAGGACTGAAATTTTATTAGTATAGTGAAGAAGAGATCTTGACTAATAGATCAAAATCTTGAACCCCATTCTCTCAAACAGTTTACAGACAGTATACTGGTCTTTGTTATCAGAAGAACTTCCCATGCTATGATTCTCATGTACTGTTAGTTTTGGTGTTCTTTTTCTCGAGTTCGGTTTTGCTCCAATCCAAATGCTTGGTTATACAGGAGTTGTCTCTATATCGTATGATTTTTAACTATCACCTGGTGTTCAACCTCGGCCTCTGTTTCATTGTGTATATATACACACTCGTGCGTGTGTGTCTGCATATAAAGTTTATGCCTTCACCATTACAAAAGCTTCAACTCAGTCACAGAAGCTTATGTTTTGAGTTGCTTAAACTATATGTGCAGTTAGGATCACAGAAGGTACATTGTTAACCATATATGTGTGTGTGTATATATATATATGGGTGTGTATTATAACAATGTTGCTAAGCTTCAGCACCATCATGGGTGTTTTGCTCAGTCTGTTCATGTTAACCACCAGGTTGTAAGAAGAAAAACGTTGCCGAAGAACAGTGTTAGAACTGTTGTATCTGTGTGTATTCTTGTGTTTCTTCTTCTTGTCTGTATGTTTTCAAAGTCCGCAGCCGGAAAACTCATCGTTTTCACCGGGACACGGATCTGTTTCACTTCAGATCTCAGAATCATGATTACCTCAGACCACAAGCAACAGAATATACCCATGTCTTTAAGCTTGACAAGCACAAGGCCCAAAACATAAATCTTTTTACATAATGTAAATCTATACAAAGGTATCTGGAAAGATTTATGGCCTGAATCTATGTCACATGACAAAATGTTTTACATTACAACAACAAAGATTTACACCTAATCAACTCTCTGATAAATTCGCCATTGTTGTGTTCTTTCCCCTCCATCTAAATCTCTCCAAATGCTTACACCGCCTCATTCTTCTTGAACGTCAAAAATCAAGGGGAAGTCCTGAGAATGAAAACCCAAGTTTCTCGGCCATAGCTTTCAAGGATTTGTATGCCTGAAACATTGACCATCTCTCTTTAGGTCTAGAAGCCACACAGCTGCATCTGATCCTCCCAAACATCAAGATTTCCTCCTCGTCGTGGCCATTCCCTCGTATGTTTTCACCAATGGCGTCTGAGATTTTGCCTGAATTATCGAGCTGGTTCACCCAATCAACCAAATTTCCGCTGAACCCTTCCTCCCCAATGCCATCTCCTATAGCTTTTTTCCGAGTCACTAACTCTAAGATCACTACTCCGAGTCCATACACATCGCCTTTCCATGATGCAACCATCGTGGAGAAATAGTCAGGAGCAATATACCCGAGTTCTCCTAAATCCCCGGTCATAAAGCTGTTATCTTTGGTATCTGTTACAGCCATTAGCCTCGAAAGCCCAGAATCCATTATTCTTGCATCGTAATCTTCATCGATGGGCATCACACTGGAAGAAATGTTCTGGTGAAGAATGGGAGGGTAGCACCCATGGTGAAGCCAGGCCAGACCCCTTGCAGCACCTAAACCGATCTTGAACCTGGTTGGTCAATCTAGCTCAGACCCATTCGAATGCAACAACGAGCGTAATGTCCCGTTTGACATGCACTTGTAAACGAGGAGCTTCTCCTCTTCAACGACGCAAAACCCTAGAAGGGGTGCTAGATTTGGGTGACGGAGCTCTCCCAGCTTGCTCATCTCGTAACGGAATTACTTCTCCTCGAGGTTACACATGCTCAAACGCTTGATTGCAAGCGATGAACCGTCTGGAAGAATCGCCTTATATGTTGTGCCCATTCTAGTGGAAAGAATTACGTTTTCGGGGCTGAAATTACTCGTGGAAGCCATTAGATCTCCGAGTTTGAGCTTGACCAGAGGCTTCTGGAACAGAGAAACTTGAGCAAGCTTATGGCCACGAAGTCTTCGTGCCCAAATACTGTCGACTCCTCCCCCGGATGAATACCCACTTCTCCTCCTCGTCCTTGCCCACTTTAAATGGTAATACCACCAAACTCCGAAAGCTAAAAACATTGAAGCAGCAGCACCAAACACACCAGCTGCAATTATGATTGCAAGATTCTTCTTACTCAGACCTCCACAGCTAGAATGGAGAGGACGGCCACAAAGCCCCTTATTGCCAGTAAAATCATCAGAAGTATAATTGGGTGAATTGAAGAACCAAGGATGCGACCTGTGAGATCATTGTTTGACATAGAGAACCTCCCTAACCTACCCAAAGCAGAGAACTATCCAGGAATTTGACCAGAAAGCCGGTTACTAGACAGAATCAAGGAGTTCATGAAGCTACACTTTGCTAATTCAGGGGGAATTTCGCCACTCAGATCGTTGCTGGAAAGATCAAGAGACACCAAAAACGGTAACCAGTCACAGAACTGGGAAGGGATGTTACCAGACAAACGATTCCCAGAGAGATCGAGTTTCTGCAAGCTCCCGCAGAACTGGAGAGATTCTGGTAATCGACCAGACAAACCCATGTCTCTGAGCTCGAGATTGATGATCCTATTCTCCTGATCGTTCCAACAAGACACCCACGAAATTGCAGAGGAATCCGACAGTAGAGTTGGCAAAGTTCCATGATTTCAGCACGCCCTGAGGATCCGACAGAGAGTTCTTCACGCCCTGTAAGCATCTGACATCGTCTTCATCCGCCGCCATAGCAGCATAGCTGCAGAACACAACTGCAGCGACAACGGCAATGGATAAAAGAAGAAAGTTTGAAGGTTTAGAACCCATTTCCATGGCGGAAAAAGGTCAGAACTGGGTTTGGATCAAAATCAAGGGTTTTTCAGCATCTCCCAACGAATTCCCAGCTTTTCCGGATAGGCAACCTATGAAGTCACGCGGGTTGAACATTCATAAGTGCAAAGTAGTCGTCGTCGACTTGATGTTTCTTGTTGAATTTAGAGAATTCAACTGGAAGAGAAAATGAAAAAGATTTTCTATTCATGACATAAACAAAATTTATTTATACTAACAATAAAAACTATATATTTTAATAAGAGAAACTTCATTTCAGTAAAGATTATTTCTCCGATACACACGGAGGGTTCATGGTTCATCAGGGTTCACTTTTGATACAAAATGACCCAATTATCCTTAGTGTAAAACGACTAAAATAACTTCAATAAATAAAAAATAATTTGATTTTAAAATAAAAAAGTGACCTCTGTTTTTATCGCGATCATTTTATCCATTTTGCATCTCTATTCAAGTCCGCCATGTTTATTGTGCAAACATGGATGAGTTTTTACTTTGGGATTTTCGTAAATTTGAAGATGAAATCAATTGAGAAAGTATATTTCAAGGTAAACCCATTGATTTTTTCTTTATTGTTAAAATTTTAGGGTTTGAAATTTTCAAGGTTAAATCTTGCATTTTTACAGTGAAATTTGAATTTTCTAGAGTTCTCGAGAAACTGACAATATAATTTTGAGTTATAGTGATGATAGTTGTAAGATTTTAATGTTTTATAAGCGACTCTAGAAGTGAAGTACGAAATATTTGTCGTAAACATACAATAATCATAATATAATCGAAATATTCTAAAATATTCAATAACATATATGTGTTACGATTTTTAACAGGGTCATGGATACTACAAAAGATTGTTACACATATATTTCTGTTCACTATGATGGTATTTGGCAAAAAGAAAATGATGATGGGTTATTTGAATGGAAATGTGGTGAGAATAAAAGGAAGACGATTTGTATGTATAACAGAACAAGCAAAGTCACACATAAGGAGCTCATTCAAGTTCCATGTGGACACTTAACATTGATTTAGGAACACCAAAATTAAGTTTTGTACCCATGGTTGCTAATGGAGATCAACCAGAATACATATTGGATGACTTCGGAGTAACATCGTTCATGTTTAGCAAAAGTAACGAGCGTCGACGATGGTTGTATGTAGAGCATATTAATGGTGCTGGATTGAATGAAGAAAATAATGGTATGCATGTTGAATCTCATATGTGTATGGATGAAGTTGATGTGAGAGTTGATGAGGCACTAGATGGAGAAGAGAGAGAACAAGATCATGTAACATTGGTCCGTGATGTACGACATGAGAATGGGATTTTGCATGTCGATTTGCATGAAGATGTGCGATATGAGAATGACGTGGTTGTTGCCACTAATGATGTTGCAAATGAAGTTATGACTGACCTTAATAATACAGTTGCAGTGAGGTTAGATAATATTGTTGCAATTGAGCTAGGTAGTGCTGTTGGTATTTCAATTCCAAGAAAACCAAAAAAAATTCATTCGAAGATAGATTGGGTTTTACAGTGGGTGAGGAGTTCGTGAATAAGGTTGAGTTAAAGATGAAGGTAAATAATACTTCAAATGATCCATGTTTTCAATACTATGTATATAAGTCGGATCATCATACGTGGGAAGTAAGATGTGCATTTCGAAGAAAAGGTTGTACGTGGCAATTGAGAACTATAAAAATGAAGAAATCTAATTTTTTTACAGTGAACAAACATGTTCCCATTCATTGTTGTTCACTGGTGTTTCAAAAAGAAAATGGAAATAAAATAAGGAATGAAACTAAAAAGAGATGGTTGTTACTTATTTGAAAAGGCATTTTGCGGGACAAGTTGATCTTCCAAGAGCAAAAAGAATAATGTATTTGGTGGGCAAAGCTTATAAATGCAAAGTGTCATATTTACCAGTATGGAGAGGGAGACAATGAGCTCAAAATAGTGTTTGGAGAAATCCGGTTGAGAACTACAATAAGCTCCCAAGTTATTTCTAAATGTTGAAGAAAAAAAACAAAGGTACGGTAACACATATACATCTAGAAGAAGACGGAAAGACATTTAAATATGCATTTTTTGCTCTGGGTGCTTGCATCAAAGGGTGGTATGCAATGCGAAAAGTGATTGATGTAGACACAACATTTCTAAAAACTACATATAAGGGTTCTTAATTGTCGCTATTGTCCAGGATGATAATCGACATTTATATCCTTTAGCTTGGGATGTAGTTGATATAGAGAATAATGATTCTTGAGATTAGTTTATGATGAAATTAGCAGAAGTGATTCTGGATAGTGATGATATGGTTGTAATATCAGATCGACACCAAAGCATAGCACATGTTGTCCGTGATGTGTATAAGAGAGTTAAACATGCATATTGTGTATACCCACATATTCCAAAAC